TAAATAACTCTGGATGACCTAAATACTGCTTTTAATTAAAAATAAGATTTGACTTGGAAAAACATCTCCAAAAGAAAACAACTTCACAAGCTAACATGGGGATCATGTTTGTGGTTCAGGCGGTTGCTTGTTACATGCGATGGTGATTCTGGGGCCATAAGTCTTCCCTGTTCTCCACCTGATCTGCCACAGACACAGTGTTGGGCAATCCAAGCCCTTTGCGCAAAAAAACAGAAGACAACAAACATTCTGTCTCAGGGATCTAAGACCTCACTAATAATTTAGACAATAAAATCTACTATGAGAAAACTGTTATTACCCCTTAAAAGGACTTTATTGCAAATCTGTTTCTATTGCATGGTTTGATTTTAAGCTTCTGTCAACAAGATGAGCCACTCCTTCCTGTGTGCAATGAGTTGGATTTTTATTGAAATATCTCATTTTCCCTTGACTCTCTGAATGTATGAGAGTACTTCAAAAAGTTCACGGGAAATGGAATGAAAAGATGTTTATTTTAGCGCAAAGATTTTGAAATCCATACCGTTTTTCTTTTCTTTTACTTTTTGACAGGCAGAGTTAGACAGTAAGAGAAGAGAGACAGAGAGAAAGGTCTTCGTTTTCCATTGGTTCACCCCTCAAATGGCTGTTACTGTCGGCGCACTGCGCCGATCCGAAGCCGGGAGCCAGGTGCTTCTCCTGGTCTCCCATGCGGGTACAGGGCCCAAGCACTTGGGCCATTCTCCACTGCATTCCCGGACCACAGCAGAGAGCTGGACTGGAGAAGGAGCAAAGAACCGGTGCCCCAACCGGGACTAGAACCCGGAGTACCGGGGCGGCAGGCAGACGATTAGCCTAGTGAGCCGCGGTGCTTGCCACCGTTTTTCATAATATGTATTTTCCACGAACTTTCTGAAGATCTCTCCTATGCAGGGACATAAAAAATTTTTTGCACTAACATCAATTTATCTTTTAAATCTTTTTTAAGACAAGATTTCTGGTGTGCTCTTATATTGTTTACTTTCTTAAGAGGACAGCTTAGGTAACAAAGAAAAACACTGCTTTCCACGTAAACATAGACCTAAGTTATGTTAAACTGTAAACCAGCTTTCTGTAACTGTAAACTGTAAACCAGGCACTTGTTTTTTTCTGAGGTGTCATTTTCATGAAAAAGAAAAAAAATAAAATGAAGCCATTCACAGCTCTTTCTACTTTTAAATTATGAATACCAACAAGATGTTAACCTCCTTTTTCTTCCTGTGGGTAAAACCTATTGCCTTTTGCATCAATGAAATGCTTTATTCCTATCCTTGGGTAAGAACAAACCTAATACTTAAAAGCAGAGATAAAGTAGCAATTCACCACACACACACACACACACACCCTGTGCCAGAAGTCACCCTATCATAAGCAATATGCTGACCTACTTTTTCTCTTCGGGTGCATCTGTAAACAAATGTGTCCAAACCCGATCAAGTTCATTATAAGTGAAAATATTTTGAGTTCAACAAAGAACTAGCTGAAAACTGGATCTGAAACTAATAAACATGATGACAACACTGCATTTTATTACAGCATTGATGTCATGGAAGTAGTTGAAACACGGAACAGTCTAACTTGATGTTCTCGTCTAAGAGGCCAGTGTTTGCAACCCAAGGCACAATAAGATTGTTCTAAAGAGGGCACAGAGGAAGCACAAACACTTGCAAACTGGCAGCTGCGTGGCCTGATCAACGAAGACAGCAGTGGCAGAAAAGTTATTTGTAAAAATTCACAGCAACCTTAACATGGCGACCATTAATATTCTTGAAATGTGGCGACAAGATAATTGACCTTAAGGGACAGTAACAGTCACACAGTCCCCTGGCTATGGGACACTCTGCAACGGGTGACACACGTGACACGGTGCAGTGACATGGGCTCAGGGGTGGGAGCATGGCCGAGAGGGCTCCTGATGTGATCTTAGGGGGGTGGTCCTGTTCCCCCCACTCTGCCTTGTGACTTCCCTGTCAGCACAGAACTGCAGATGTCATTTACCTTAGAGGTCTGATGCTTAAGAGGAGATTTTAAAAACATGTTTTGCTTTTAGTGTTTGCTTGCAGGCTACTTCACCATAGTCTAAGATCTCCTGAAAGTTAATAAAAGACACTGCAGTTCTGATCATTGAATGGCTTGTTACTGTCCCGGACTCCCATGAAGCCTGGTCCTCATGGCACAGGGTAGAAACGAATGGCATCCAGTAAACCCTTACTCAACTTAAAAACAAGCTTGTGCTCTCTAATTAAAACCAGATGAGAAGCAGTTGTGTGTGTGTGTGTGTGTGTGTGTGTGCTTTAGCTACAGGAAAGATATTTGCAAGAAAATGTGAGAGATAATTGGGGGTAGTGGTAATAAAAATTCATTTTGAAACTGAAAAGCTCTTATGTAATGCCTGTGATCAAAGGTCAACATCTTTCGACATTCTCACACAACCGGCCCGATCTGGATAAAAATCAACTCAAGTATAATTGAGAAAAAATAACAGGATACCAAACAATGCGCCTGCCCGGTGAAATGCAGGCATACCTCTGGAAAACAAGAACTGAATATTAAAGGAAACTTCAATGACATTGTTTCTGTTGGGTTTTGAATTGAATCCCAAGTGTGCTTCTAAGAGCAGCAATGCCATCTGGATTACAATGGAAATAATGAAGTATGTGTGATTTTTTAACTGGGGTTGAAAACACAGCCTAGCCACTATGACGGCACCTTTTCCACCCCTGCTGCAATCATATTTACATCTCGGAATTGACTCTAATGACCAAGGCAAGGTCAAGTCGAAAACTCCACTCGGCCCAGTGAGTCAGGCGCATTGCTCAACGTGTGAAAGGGCTCTCAGAAGGGGTTTTAATTTTCAGGCTGTTGCATCAGTGTTGTTATAATTGCACTTCGCCAAGATAAGCCCTCACAGCAGCAAAGGAAATTGTTTCAAAAACCAGTGAGCTTGCACTCATGCTCATTAAAGGGACAGGAAGGAAGGGGGGGGGGGGGCGCGGCACTGTCAGAAGCAGGGAGCCTACCTGGATTTCAGTCCAGGGCACCTGGGCCTCGGGTCAGGTTCTCATCTCCTCCTCTGTGAAATGGGGAGGAGGGTACCTGGCACAGATGGGCTCAGTGTCTAACATTCACCCACTCTCACTTGTGCATCAAGGCACTGGTGAGCATGATTCTGCAGGAAGCACCTGCTGCTGTCCCATTTCTGCTCTTAGGCAGAGGGTCCCACGTCCACAGTGTCACCCTGCTTGGCCTTCGTTTTCTACCGAGGCCGCATATCTGGTTCATCCCTGGGGCATAAGGGGGACTCCCCAGTTGCTGCTCATCTCAGTCCACAGGGTGTGGTGCGGGTGGGAGAACTCGGTGGACAGAAGCTATAGGGGAGTGCTGAGCTCTTGCCCCTGCACACAGTCCCCAAGTCAGTAACCCATTGAGCTGGGAGGTCCAAGGCTCTGCCTTCCCTTCAAACAGCCATCAACCCGGAACACCAGGGCAAACAGTTTTCTGAAAAAAGTCATCAGTAGGAGAAAAAAAAAAAACAAACAAACAAAAAAACCCTCAAGAAATGATTTCCGCAGGCTTAATTCCAACACCAATCCTTACTGCTAAAATACTGCCCAGCAATTTAGGCAGAGAACGCAGGTGACTACTACGCGTGGATTTTAAAGTTCAACAAACTTATCTTTTAAGTGCATTTCCCCCAACCTTCCTGAGGTCTCTGGGAGAGGGTCTCGGCCAGGCTCCCAAGGGTGTGGGCCCAGCCTCGGCCGGTCCTCCACGGAGAGCCACTTGCCAGCCATGCGCTGTTACCCCTGGCACCAAAGTACTCCATTGCAGTTGTTACAGCAGCGTCTCCATGGGTGTTCCGATTTGGTTTTATTCTGAACTATCCTTTGCCCATAGAAACTGAAGGTTTAAAAAAAAAAAAAAGGAACCACCATGTCCACCTCCCCCCCGCCCAATCAGCTCCAGTGGCCACTGCCAAACCGAGGCTGCCCTTCCAGCCCCACAAATCCCGGAGACCCCCACCCCCCACCCTCTGCGGTCTCTGCGTGTTCCCTAGGGTCCTCTCGGCTCCAGGAATGGGGACGTGCTGGCCCTGAAACGCACAGAGGACCTTGGGGAACAAAGGTGTGCGCGGGTCTCGGAACCTCGCCGTGCCACACGCGTGCATCAGGCCTGCGCGCCTGCCCCCCGGGAAGCGCGTCGCCGAGACGCCCGGGCGGCCCCTCCGCGCCCCCGCGCCCGCGGCCTGGGCTACCCGCGAGCACACCGGCACGCCGCGCCTCCCCGAGACCCGCCTCCCGCCGGGTGGGCGGCGCAGCGGGGCCTCGGCGCCGTGAGGACCCCCCGCGCCAGAACAAAGGAATGTGGGGAGGGGGCGGGGAGGCGCGCCGGCCACCGAGCGGTCCCCGTTCGGCCGCCGCCCAGAGACGCTTCCCGGTCTCGAGCCGCCGTCCCCGCCCGCTCACCCGCACCAGGGGAGCCCCGCGGGGCCGGCGTCGGTAGCCTCGGCTGCCCGAAGACCCCCGCGGGGCGGAGGGAGGGGCGCCGGGACGCGCCACGCGAGGACGCGGTCGGAAGGTGGCGCCACGCGGCCCCTAGAGGCCAGGGCTCTCACCCGGGCTGGAGGCTGGGGGGTGGGCGTGGGGAGGTGGGCGTGGGGGGTGGGCGAGAGGACTAAAGCGAGCCGCCAGCTTCTCCGAGAGCCACCGCAGTTGTGATTGGGACAACGTAACGTGTTCCGGCTGCGAATCGCTATAATAAGGCCCCACTACCCCTTACAAATAACCACGCGCTTTAATTATTTAAATGTTAAGTGGGTGTGCGTGTGTGTAAACCTGCTCATGGACACACTGGCACATGCATAGAGGCACTCGCAATGGCACTAGGTGGGGACTCCAGGGCGCTCTGCGTGCTCAGCGCCCAAGTGAAACTAGGGTATCCGGACAGAAACACAATCCACTAACCTATATCTGTTCCCCATAAATCACATCCGGCCGGGGGGGCGAGCACACGACGGGAAACACACACTTCTGACCTCCTTAGCTGGTGGTATTTACGAACGCCGGGGCCGGGGGCCGGCGGCTCCCCAAGTGTCCTCCAGCTAGAGGGAGGCGCAGCGAAATGCCTTCCTAAAAATACAGCCTTATCAAAGGTCTCCGAGGGCGTGCGCCGTGAAACTACAGCAGGCGGCCTTGAACTTGGATGTGCACGCAGCCCCGGAGAAAACACCAGGAATAGCTCCGCGAGGCCGCAATTGTTCAAACGCGATGGCGCTAAATTTAGAAGAACGCACATTTCATTTAGGGCAAAAAAGACACGCATTCGGCCGCCTGCTGCGCAGACTCGGCGCTTATGGGGCTGTCGACTTTCCTGTTGAAAATATCCTTGAGGGGAAAAAAAAAAAAAAAAAAGAACTGTTACAGTGACATTTTTCCAGGCTGAGATTGCCCTAGTTTCTTTGTAGCGAGATTATAAAATCGCGTAATTAGCTCCCTCTTTCTACGCTCGGTGCCAGCAAATCCGGCAGTTACATAATGCAACATTTCCAGGAAACTATTATGTGCGCTGTCTTGTCGCGTCGGAAACAGCCGCGGCGACCCCGGGCGAACGGGGGCTACTAAGAGGCAGCGCATTTCTTTGGATCAGGGGGGTGGGTAGGGGGAGGCAGACGTCACAATGCATTCGCCCCAGATTTCAAAACAACGGCTCGGAATCTCTCGGGGGGGGGGACCCCGAGCCCCGAATCCAAGCCCCAGCTGCCTCCGACGTTCCGCAGGGCCGTGGGGGACACCTCGCGTGGATGTAAACAGCGCCCCGGGGCTCAGCGCCGCGCGACCGCGACCACACCGCGGCACACGCACACGCGCGCACCTCCCCACCACCCCGCCGGCGCTGCGCCGTGGGCAGATTACGCAACGCACGCGAGGACAAATCCCACAACCTTCCCGAGGGCTTGTAAAACACGCTGACGACACACGGGCTGGGAGACGTCTGGGCACACACAGCGCCTGACACAGGCATTCTCCGGATGCCGTCACCGCTCGCGCTCCCAGCGCGCGTCCCCAACACGCAGAGCCAGACTGCTCCCCGTTCCTCAGCCCTGTCCTCTCTGCCCCCGGCCCCGCGGAGGGGCCAGGCGCCGGAGACCAGGGCGCACCTTCCCGCTCGCAGGGCGGGGGGGGGGGGGGCCGCAACCACCCCGGCGCCGCTTCCCCACCAAAACAGCAATTTTCCCGAAATCGGGAGACGTTATGCAACCGCGGCAGAGAGCGCACCCCAGGCAGGACTACGTGCCGGCGGCGCCAGCGCGCTGCAATCAAAGCAGCCACCTTCGGGCGGGAGTCCCATCCCGACCGAGGCAGCAAAAGTTTATGTAACGAGCGGCCCGCGCACGCTCGCCGCCGCCGGCGAGCCCCGCGCACCCTTCGGCCCGCACCCCCACGCCCCGCGCCAGCCCGGCCGCGCGCCCCGGGAGCGGGCGGGGAGCGGGCGCGGGGCCCCCCGGCCGGCGGTGGGCGGAGCGCTTACCGTGTTCCTGCTCCCGGGCCGGCGCACCGGGGCGGCGAGGAGAAAGAAAGGGGAGATCGGGAGCCGGGCTGGCGGCGCCGGGGCTCGCGGCTCCGGGCCGGGCCTCCGGGGCCGCGGCGGGCGGCGGGCGGCGGCGGAGAGGGCGCGGCGCGGGAGGCGGGCGGGCGCGCCGGGTCCGCGGGCGCCGTGGCCGCGCCGAGAGATGTGTGTTAGTAGGTCAGTTCCGAGCGCCGCGCTACGTCGCCGCCCGCCAGCCCCGCCGTGACGGGCGGCCGCAGCCCCAATCGCCGCGCCCGCACCCGCCCCCGGCCCGCCGCCAATGGCCGCGGCCGGCAGGGGCGGGCCGGGGGGGCGGGCTCTCCGCGGCCCCGCCCCCTCTGCACTCCGCCGCGGCGCCGCCACCAGTGCGCGTCCCTCCCCGGCCTCGGACACCGCCGCCGCCCGAGCCGGCGTCCGCCAGGACCCGCGCCCTGCGCCCTGCGCCCCGCTCCGGGTTGCGCAACGGCCGGCGCAGCCAGCGCGGCGCGGAGGAGCCTGGGGAGGAGGAGCCCGGGACCCCCGGGCCTGGCCTTGCCGTGGTGGCTCCGGGCTCCCCGCGACCCTCGTTGCTCGCAGATGCGCTTTTTGTCTCCCCCAGCGGCGGCGGCGGCGGCGCCGGCCGGGCTACCTGTTGCCGACCGAGCACCGGGCGAGGCGTGGCAGCGACCTCGGCCTTGCCTTCCCGCAACACTGCGGAGAGGAGCGACCCTTGTGCGGCGGAGCTGGCGGGAGGCCGGAAAGGCAGCGGGTGGCGGCCGGGGAGCTGCGGGCCCTCGGGGGTGCCGCGGCGGGGAAGGGGTTGGGGCGGCGGCGGGGCAGAGCTGCTCCGGGAGAAGCAGAGACTCAAATACCCCGCGCGTCCTGGAGACGGCCCCGGGCACGCAGGCTACGCTGCACGCGCCAACACCTCCCCTTGCACGATGAGGTCTGCTGTGAAGTTGTTGCGTCACGCAACTGGGGGACGAGGGTCGTGGGGGCCCCCCTCAGTCCCCGGGCCACGCGGAGAGGCGGCCGCGGCTTTCTCCGGGGGGAACTCGCCGCACTGGGACGCCCATTGGCGTTGGGCGCTGGAGCTTGAGCCGACCGCGCAGGGTCGCTTCTGGCGATCAGGGGCCGGTAGCCCTTTGGTGTCATTTCTGCCCCTAGTCGGATGCGGTCGCCTTCTCCCTCAAATTCTGGGGTTTCCCTGGGGAGACGTAAATAAATGCGGGGGAGCGCTCCCAGCCGCGAGTTGTGAAATCATTGCGTGTGAGGTTGGGGAGGTGCGCAGCAAGCACAGCCCCGTGCGCGTGTCGGGGTCTCGGGTGGAGGGGCGTGCCGGCCTGGGCCGAGGGAGCCATGTTCCTGGCTATGGCGCGCACGCTCGTCCAAACAGGGCATGTGGCGGGTGGGGCGGCCCGCCCCTGTCGCTCGGGCTGCGTGCAGGCTGGGCTGAGCGTCCCGCGGCTCCGTTTTCTTCCCCTGCGTTTGGAGACACAGAGGGGCGTGCAGACCGGCGGCCGAAAGCCCGGGCCGTCCGGCGCGCTAACACCGCACACCTCGTGGGCACCTGGCGTGACGTTTCCAATGCCTGTGGCCCCCGTCGCTTGGACGTTTGCCCTGTCGTCGCCGCACCGCGCTGCGGTTCCGAGCTCGGCGTCCCCAGCCGCAACCCGGGAGCTGGGGCTGTGCCATACATGATTTGACGTCTTCCCGACACAGCTCCTTGGGTGCTGTCAGGGACAGCCGCTCAGCGACACGGTGATCGCAGAGAGTGGGCTATCTTGATGAAAACCAACCCTGATGTGGGTTTAGAATTTCCACTTTTCTCGTGTTTACTGGTAGTTTCCTTTTTTTCCCTAAGCCAGGGCTATTTATAGCTCTGAAGAAAAAAAAAAAAAACAAAACCTCTCGTAGATGCAATCAAGGGCCTGTCGACAAAACAGTTGCCTTTTCAAGGTCAGAAATGCAGCGGGTTCCTAAGAATGCACAGCTGCCCGGCCCCCACAGGTTCTCCACGTTCTGCCTTTTGGATGCTTTCCTGGGGCTCCAAAGCGGCTACTGTCTTGAGAGGGGGCAGTTTGATCTTCAAGATAGGCAGGTAGTGTGCCTGCAACCCCTCCAGGCAGTGGTGGTGGAAGAAGTCTCCGAACCTGGAAACTTGGTCTTCATCCTGAATTCTGGTACCTGCTGCTCGCCCAGCTCCTTGGAGTATTTTGGATTGCCCCCGTTATCAAATGTGCGGTTCCTTTTCTGTTACCCGCTGACTTGAGATTCTGAGGAAGGGTCATGCAGAACTGTGTTACCAGCTTAGAAAATAACTCTTTAGCTCCCCCTGGTGATTGGGAGACCGCTGAACAAGATGAGGACGCATCTGTCCCCAGGACCACAGTGCTGTTGTGTCGGATCGATACTAAGAGTGTATCCTGGAAAACCCACGGGGCAGGCGACTGTTTGCAGATCAAACTGAGTAAATGGAGCATAAAACCTAAAGGCTTTGAAACAAGTGAACCAGGATGGGGAGGCTTCAAGGAAAGCAGCCATGTGAGTGTGTGGTCAGGTAGGGCTGCGACCAAGATCAGAGGTTCAGGAGGAGGGTGGGGGGAGGCGCGGAGGAGGAAGGTTCTCTATGAGGTGTGAGGTCAACGCGTTTCTATTCTCCGTGCCTGTCCCTCTCAGTGCTGGGGGTGGGGTGGAGGCAGCCAGAACACCCAGCACAAGAAAACCAACTGCATTCAGCTCTGTTTTATTACCCTGCCAACACACTTTCTGGTGAAGCAAACGTGACTAAGCCTGTGGCCAGAGCCCTATGATTGCAGAGGCCGTATATATCCAGAGGTTTGTACTCTGGGCCTTGCTAGGCAGTGGCAGCTGTAAACTGGGATACCTAATGCAAGCTCAGGAGTTTAGCTGCATAGGGACTGTAGCACAGAGAGCGATAATAGATGCCACCCCTCACGGCATTTGTCCAATGTGGCAAGGCTGGAATACAGTTCTAGGGGCCCTCACCTCCAGTTTTGCAAAAAAGGAAGTGAACATCTGAATTGTTCTATTGGTGAAAATCCTGATTTTCAGCGTTGGTGTGTAGTTCATTAAAACATGAGACTCAGGGCTAGCGTTTGGCCCGGCAGTTAAGTCTCTTCTGTGGATACCTGTTTCCCATGACGGTGCCCAGGTCTGAGTCCCGGGTCTGCTGAGGTTTGCAGCTTCCTGCTCAGGCGCACCCTGGGGGGCAATGGTGATGGCTGATGTAGCTGGGTCCCTGCCACCCATGTGGGAGACTTGAACTGAGTTCCCAGCTTTGGCCTGGCCCAAGCCTGGCACTCAAGGGCATTTGGGGAGTGAGTCAGGGCATGAGAGATTGCTGTTTGTTTGTCTACATTTCAAATAAGTAAAATCAGTAAGTAAAAGAAGACCGAGGGCCTACCCCATTGGACACTGAAGGAGGAGCTCAGCAGAGTCCGTGGAAAGGAAAGGGTGCAGAACTGAAAGGCCAGCTTCAGAACTGGCAGCCCAAACCGGGCAGCGTGCACCTCAACTCTTCTGGGTACTGAGATTCTGCATTTCTTCACAGAGAGGTCTGGGAATCCTTTGGGGACCGCCGGTCTCGGCGGGGCCCTCGGACCAGCATTCCAGCTCTGTGTGCTGGGACCGTTTTCTTTGCGCTAAGTGATGGTTATTGACCACTTTGCCTCCTTTTGTTAAGCTTCTAGAAGTTCCCGCAGTTTCTAAGTCCGTAGGTCGCAGTTTTGTTCTGCTTCATTCTGCTTCCACAGCGAGGCTTTGCGAGATGAGCTCGTGTGGCAGTGATGGCCTGGGACTCGTCTCCCACACACAGGTGTCTTGGCTTCGACCTCATGAGTCACTAATGTTCAGGCAGAAGCTTCCTGGAATGGCGATCGTCTCCTGCAGCCCTGGGCTTGCTCCTCTTTCGAGTGTTTCTGCCGCTTTGTCTCGCCTCTGCAGCCCTCATCACCTTTTGTTTGCATTCTGCTTTTCTTGGCCTTATTCTTTTGCATGTCTTTCTCCTGATTGACTTGGTTCACTTACTTTTCCCTTTGGCCTTTCTCCAGTCATTCAAATCCTCAATACTGTGTTGGACGATGCGTTTATCCTACCAGACTTCCAGGTTCCTCTTCTCTCCTGTCACTCACCTATCCCAGCCACTACCTGGAGGGTGTGACTTTAAACACTTCTGTTCTGTCTTCCAGCTTCTGGCCCCTGGTTCCATTAGCATGCTTGGCCTTATTCTCCAGGAAGCGAGATTTTTCGGGAGAAATCTGAGTAATAGAAGATGGTCAAAAAACAGTGCTTGTGGAAGCGATGGCTTCAATGCATAGGAAGCCGGAATGTTTCCTATTAAGCAGCTTTCGCTCAAGCTAAGAAAGAAATGAGATCTCCACACGAACTGCATGATTTCCCCAGACAAAAGCAGCTGATGGTGTGAATGTATTTCAAAGCTTTTCCAAAAGGCCCAGGGAAAGACCAGAAAGAGGTGGTTTTGCAAAGAAGGGAAAATGTTGCAAGTACACTATTACAAAAACTGAAACATGTCTTTAAATTCAGCCACTACAGATGGCACACATTTCAGTAAGCATTTTTTATTCATTCAGATTAAATGGGAATTGTGAGTAAGGGTGCCAAAAGAAAGAAGATGAACATAAAGGGTGGGTGTGAAGCAGGGCAGTGCACTAAAAATGGTGAGGACGTCGGGAGCCGCTAATTGTGTTCATTGCAAAACCTCCGCGATGGAGCAAGCGTTGTGGTAGCAGTTAACTAGCGACCGGGACACAGCTAGCAGCGCTAGGCGCATGTGAAATATAAAATTGTGAAATGTGTTCTAACAAAAACCATTTTACTAAGAATAAGAGATGACACATCCACATTGCAATGCAGCTCAAATCAGTGAGGTAAAGCTTATCTAAATATTTCTGCGAAGTCATGCACAGAGTAATTTTCTGGAAAGAGTCGTGACTGCAACTCACAGGCCTGGCTTCTAGTACATTCTGTCCACCAGACTTGCCTGGGGATCTTGTCATCTCTCTCTGAATGCCGCTTCTTTCATCTGAGGCCAGAGTTGAACCAGATGCTCAGCGGTCTCCCTTCTGCAC